CTGGAAAATAATGGTGGCCACACAAAATATTGACACTTTGGGCCCAATTTGGACATTTTCACTTAGGGGTGTACTCACTTTTGTTGCCAGCGGTTTAGACATTAATGGCCGTGTGTTGAGTTATTTTGATGGGACAGCAAATTTACACTGTTATACAAGCTGTACACTCACTACTACTTTACATTGTAGCAAAGTGTCATTTCTTCAGTGTTGTAATATGAAAAGATATAATAAAATATTTACAAAAAATGTGAGGGGTGTACTCACTTCTGTGAGATAGTGTGTATGTATGTGTGTGTGTATGTATATATATATATATATGTATGTATGTATGTATATGTATATATGTATGTTATATATATATATATATGATGATTATGTACACACACTCACCGGCCCACTTTATTAGGTACACCTTGCTAGTCCCAGGTTGGATCCCCTTCTTTTGCTTTCAGAACTGCCTTTAATTCTTCGTGGCATAGATTCAACAAGGTGTTGGAAACATTCCTCAGAGATTTTGGTCCATATTGACATGATAGAATTATGCAGTTGCTGCAGATTTGTTGGCTGCACATCCATGATGCGAATCTCCTGTTTCACCACATCCCAAAGGTGCTGTATTGGATTGAGATCTGGTGGCTGCGGAGGCCATTGGAGTACAGTGAACTCATTGTCATGTTCAAGAAACCAGTTTGAGCTTTGTGACATGGTGCATTATCCTGCTGAATGTACCCATCAAAAGATTGGTACACTGTAGTCCTAAAGGAATATACATAGTCAGCAACAATACTCAGGTAGGCTGGGGGTTTAAATGATGCTCAGTTGGTACCAAGGGGGCCCAAAGTGTGCCAAGAAAAGATCCCCTACACCATTACAGCACCACCAGCAGCACTGGGACACCCCTCCAAATTTTTGGATTCAGGTGTTCCAATCGCCTCCATGGCCACAGGTGTATAAAATCAAGCACCTAGGAATGCAAACTGCTTTTACAAACATTTGTGAAAGAATGAGTTTCTCTCATGAGTACGAGAAATTTACTTGCTACTAAATATTCCACAGTCAACTGTTAGTGGTATTATAACAAAGTGGAAGCAACTGGAAACAACAGCAACTCAGCCACAAAGTGGTAGGCCACGTAAAATGACAGAGCGGGGTCAGCGCATGCTGAAGCACACAGTGCACAGAAGTTACCAACTGTCTGCAGAGTCAATGGCTAAAGACCACCAAACTTTGTGTGGCCTTCAGATTAGCACAACAGTACGTAGAGAGCTTCATGGAATGGGTTTCCATTGCCGAGCATCTGCCTCCAAGCCTTACATCACCAAGTAAAGGACACAGCCACTGGACTCTAGAGCAGTGGAGACGTTCTCTGGAGTAACAAACCACGCTTTTCTGTCTGGCAATCTCATGAACGTGTCTGGGTTTGGTGGTTACCAGGAGAACGATACTTGACTGACTGCATTGTGCCAAGTGTAAAGTTTGGTGGAGGGGGATTATGGTGTGGGACTGTTTTTCAGGGGTTGGGCTTGCCCCCTTAGTTCAAGTGAAGGGATCTCTTAAGACATCAGCATACCAAGACATTATGGACAATTCATGCTCTCAACTTTGTGGGAACAGTTTGGGGATAGCCTCTTCTTGTTCCAACATGACTGCGCACCAGTGCACAAAGCAAGGTCCATAAAGACATGGATCAGCAAGTTTGGGGTGGAGGAAGTTGACTGACCTCAACCCGACCGAACACCTTTGGGATAAATTACAGCAGGAACTGCAACTCAGGCCTTGTAGTCCGACATCAGTGCCTGACTTCACAAACGCGCTTCTGAAAGAATGGTCAAACATTCCCATAGACATACTCCTAAACCTTGTGGACAGCCTTCCCAGAAGAGTTGAAGCTGTTATAGCTGCAAATTGTGAGCCAACTCAATATTGAACCCTACAGACTAAGACTGGGATGCCTTTAAAGTTAATGTGTATGCAAAGGCAGGTGTCCCAATACGTGTGTGTACAGTAGATATAAAAAGTCTACACACCCCTGTTAAAATGTCAGGTTTCTGTGGTGTAAGTAAATGAGACAAAGATAAATAATTTCAGAACTGTTTCCACCTTTTACTGTAACTTATAAACTGTACAACTCAGTTGAACAACAAAATTAAATCTTATAGGTGGAGGGAAATAAAAATAATATGGTTGCATAAGTGTGCACACCCTTAAACTAATACTTTTGTTGAAGCACCTTTTTGATTTTATTACAGCACCCAGTCTTTTTGGGTATGAGTCAATAAGCGTGGCACATCTTGACTTGGCAATATTTGCCTACTCTTCTTTGCAAAAACATGCCAAATCTGTCAGATTGCGAGGGCATCTCCTGTGCATAGCTCTCTTCAGATCACCGCAGAGATTTACGATCGGATTCAGGTCTGGGCTCTGGCTGGGCTATTCCAAAACTTTAATCTTTTTCTGGTGAAGCCATTCCTTTGTTGATTTGGATGTATGCTTTGGGTTGTTGTCATGCTGAAAGATAAAGTTCCTCTTCATGTTCAGCTTTCTAGCAGAAGCCTGAAAGTTTTGTGCCAATATTGACTGGTATTTGGAACTGTTTGGACCATGTGTATAGCTGTCCTTCTGACAGAAGCCAGTCTAAGAACCTGCTTTTGTGGAAGGGACATGCTGGAAAACAAGCATGCGATCAGCACTCTTAGCCAATGGCTGTCCCCTGTCAGAACACAGGCACAGCGTGAGAGAGCCCTGTACTAACATCGCTTAGTACAGTGATCTTGCAGGGGTTTTTTATCTTCAGCCCACTGAAGCTGATGGAGCCAATAATGTGTTTTTTATTCTGTATGGGATTAAAGGAGAAGTAAGGCCAATGCAATTGTGCTCATACTTCTCATGTGGGTCACAGGAATGCAATTTGTTTTGCAGTCCTGTGATCCAGATTCAGTCGACAGTGGGCTAAAGCTGGGTGTCGGCTAAGGTCACAGAGCTGGTCCAGGGGATGCCTGGACCAGCAGCTAACTCGGCTTCTCAGCATGCTGCTGAGAGCTCAAGCCAGCTGCTCCAACAGCCCAGCGCTTCATTGAGTGCTGGAGGGGGAGAACAGAGAGATGGAGAATGACAGTTGCTGCTCTATGCTCAGTGAAGACCGACAACTGAGCAATCAGCAGTCATGTGATTGCTCTGTTCTCAGTCTTGGAGCCAGCAGGGTACAGCTGCAACATCACTTTGATGCTGCAGCCACATAAGAGAGTATGTACAGTTGTGTTCAAAATAATAGCAGTCAGACATCACTAACCTGATCAATCACTGTTTTTGGTAAAAATGATATTTCTACATGGCAAATAATTTACTAGCAGGTGTAGTAGAGTAATAGAAATCCAACAGACCCAACAGTCATGACATGCATGCTGCTGATTCTGTGTAATTGAATCACTAATTGAAAGGGGCATGTTCAAAATAATAGCAGTGTGGATTTCTATTAGTGAGGACATTCATTCTTTGAAAAATAGGTGGCAATTATTGCCTTTATTTAAGGAAGGAAGGCAGCAAATGTTGTACATGCTGGTTACAGTGCATTTCTCTCTGAAATTCTGAGGAAAATGGGTCGTTCCAGACATTGTTCAGAAGAACAGCGTACCTTGATTAAAAAGTTGATTGGAGAGGGGAAAACATATAAAAGAAGTGCAGAAAATGATAGGCTGCTCAGCTAAAATGATCGCAAATGCTTTAAAATGGCAACCAAAACCTGAAAGACGTGGAAGAAAGCAAAAAAACGACCATTCGAATGGATAGAAGAATAGCCAAAATGGCAATGACTCAGCCAACAATCAGCTCCAGGAAGATCAAAGAAGGTCTAAAGTTACCTGTGAGTACTGTTACAATTAGAAGACGCCTATGTGAAGCCAAGCTATCTGCAAGAAGCCCCCGCAAAGTCCCACTGTTGAAAAAAAGACGTTCTGAAGAGGTTACAATTTGCCAAAGAGCACATTGACTGGCCTAAAGAGAAATGGTGCAACATTTTGAGGACTGATGAGAGTAAGATTGTTCTTTTTGGGTCTAGTGGCCGGAGACAGTTTGTCAGACGACCCCCAAACACTGAATTCAAGGCACAGTACACTGTGAAGACAGTGAAGCATGGTTGCGCAAGCATCATGATATGGGGATGTTTCTCATACTACAGTGTTGGGCCTATTTATCGCATACCAGGGATCATGGATCAGTTTGAATACATCAGAATACTTGAAGAGGTCATGCTGCCTTATGCTGAAGAGGAAATGCCCTTGAAATGGGTGTTCCAACAAGACAACGACCCCAAACACACCAGTAAACGTGCAACATCTTGGTTCCAGACCAACAAGATGGACGTTATGGAGTGGCCAGCCCAATCCCCGGATCTTAATCCAATAGAAAACTTGTGGGGTGATATCAAAAATGCAGTTTCTGAGGCAAAACCAAGAAATAGCGAAGAACTGTGGAATGTAGTGCAATCATCCTGGGCTGGAATACCGGTTCACAGGTGCCAGAAGTTGGTTGACTCCATGCAACACAGATGTACAGCAGTTCTCAGAAACAGTGCTTATACAACTAAATATTAATTAAGTTATTCAAAGGAAAGCAAAATCTTCAAACATTTTTCAGTTTATATAGTGAATGTTTGAGTTTGTAAAGAACAGTCTAATATTCACTTTTCTTAAATTTTTTTAAAGGAACAACACAAATTTGATCTATTTTTCTTCATGTTTTGATTTGGAATAGAATGTGTAGTGTTCCCAATGCATTTGTGTATATGGAAATAAAAGCTATTAGAAGGATTTTGAGCTTTAGTCACTTTTTTCAACACACTGCTATTATTTTGAACACAACTGTATGTGTTGTGTTTTTTTTTTTTTTGTCTTTTGTTTTTTTTAATCCGCACTTCTCTTAGAGATCTGACAATTACCTAAGTGTAAAATAAGTCTACACCAATTAAAAAGTACTAAATTCTCTCCCTTTTTCTTCCACAGGGTGGAAATGATTATGAGATTTATACAGACTCTAGAACAATAGGTCACTCTGTGACTTCTCCTGAAGACACTAGAAGAATCTGTGAAGAATTATTTTTTCAATGAACTTGGACACGTTGGAAGGCTTGTGTAAAGGAAAGATGTTCATAAATACAAGCTACCTAACATTGGAAAAAAGTTTCATTAAGGGTTTTAGAAGTTACTACAAGATAAATAAGAAGGGTGATGGGTTCATATCATTCACATTGCATTGCACATTATATCTGCTTAGCGCAGGGATGAACCTAAAAAGAGTTTTTTTGTATTCTAGAACTGATTACGGACAGTGCTATATTTTTTTTTTAACCCCCATTTTCCTAAATTGCGTCTTAGTGGTGTTTGTTCTCACTTGTATACAAATTATTTGTCTCCTAGCAACTAGTTATAATCTTTATTTTGTATTCTTACATGCAATGAATACATAAGAATGAAGCTGGTTGATTGGGCCAGAAATGAGAATTTTAGGTACATTATGCTTAAAGCCAATTGATCCTTTCTATTGTTCGGTGCCAGTTTTAGGAACCTGAGAGACCATGGACATATACAACCATTTGCATACATGTACTCTGTGAAATTGAGACCGCTGCTTCTGTGCTGTGCAAAGTGGAAAAAGGCAAATTTGCTACTTTAGGCTGTCTAAGAGACAGTTCTATTTCAGGTTTGTAGAGATGCTGACAGGTCTGCATTTAAATGGTGGGTTTTTTTTTTTCTTTCTTCATTAGTAGCCTGAGCCTGGAAGCCTCCAGACTGATGTTTTGCCATGTGGTGATTCCCGCCTCTGGCTTTGAAGCTTAAAGCCAGTATTTGCATATATTGAGGGCCCTGTTTTTGGGGGAATTTTAGGGAATGCTAGAAGATATGTGAGTATGTGTAGCCACCTCACGGTACCTACTTTGCCCTTACTTGTCTTTAAACTTTTAGTGCCAGTACAAGTTCATTTACATATCTTCATACCTCATTGAAATGTACATCATTTAAACTGTGCATCTAATATGTATGCAATGAGTGTTCATCTAGCAGTACAACTCAATTTTTTTTCACAGTCAATGCCAGGTTTACAATAAATGTAGTTATATTTTCTTGGAATTATGTCAGCATTTTATTCATAAAGGTTATTCTCTATTATCAGCGCTGATTAGTTTTACAGCTAACTGCTCTTTACAGATTCCATCTTTGCTGTAGGTCAACTTTGATTACTGTCTAATATGTCTGTATTGAATATGAATTGAAATTGTTGATTTATGGTGGGAAGAATAAATGTAATAAAGCAATGCAATTTTTTACAAACTGGGTAATGTTCTGTTTTTAAAGCAAAAAATAAAATGATGCTATCATCCATGACAAACAATGATTTGTCACCTAATTGGATGAGTCATTGCTGGAAGTCCCAACAGAAGCATAAAGAGATGGAGATAGAAAGCCATTGGGTATTACGCTGCCTACACAAGGCTTTGCATGGCATTGTAAAACAAAATAAAGGGCGACTCCACCTGGTGACTATACCATAGAGCCTTAGTTTAGCTTGTTGTCATGTTAACATTTCTTTAGTTGGTGGTAGTATCCTAAATCCTAGTAGGCTTTTGCAGTCAGCCAATGAATGCAGTTCTTCCTGACAGGCTGATGATCTGGTTTTTCACTGCAACACAGCGAACGCAGTAGCATACCTGGAATGTGCTTGCACTAAATGTAGGTCTGCCAGATCTATAAATCTGCATAATGATTGCAGATGACCCATCTAGACTCTGATGCCAGGAGGGCTTTGCAGACTCGCCTATTAATCTAGTTGATGAGTAAGGCTAGTCACCGCTTCTTTGAGCAAAATCAAAAAGAGTGTGCATGCGCCCTAGTGCAATCAGTCTTTATTATAATGAACTATATTAAAACCAATACACTCAAATGTTCATGAATATAGTACAGGTATATCAAGAACCACAGATCTCTGAAAAACTCTTGTGTCCACACTAGCTTAGAGATACCCATGCTGGCATGTATGGTCTCGTCCAAGATGTAGCACCACCGTGGGACATGGAAAACCAGTGTGTGCCTCAATCATCAGTTGCAGGAACAATGTGTTATGGGGGTGTGGCCCCCTTTTTCAAGTCAGTTCGGCCTATTTACTGCTTCTATTCTGTTTCCTAGGGAGAAGGGGGGGTAAAGTTTTTTTTAAACATGCACCCAGTTTTCTAGTACTGCAACGCTGATACTGTTTTTTAGTGCACCTCCTATCTTTCATTTAGCCCTCACTGTAACATCTGTTACCTTTCCTATAACATCTTAAAGTGGGTGGAGCTTCATGGACAGAGCCAGTGATTTCCTTTAGGGTAGATTTGAATGTGTGTCTAAATCTTCTTTGCCACTGAAGCCTGATCAGCTTCCAGATTGCACTCCAGAGGCTACTGACAGGTGGCGAGGAAGCAATGCAAAGCCTCCTCACCGCCTGTTTTAACCTTATTTTTGCCAACAATCGTGCCACAACCCTCTTTCTCTGGCATCTATACTTCTTTGTTACAAAAACGTATTTTGCTAGCTTTAGAAAATGTACCTTGGCATTGTATGATATTATTAAGTCTATGATCTTCCAGAACACCCAGATCCTTCTCCACCATTGATTCCCCAAGTTGTAGTCCCCTGAGTATGTATGATGCATGTTTTTAGCCCTCCAGTGCATAACTTTACATTTACAGTGCCTTGAAAAAAGTATTCATACCCTTTGAAATTTTCCACATTTTGTCATGTTACAATCAAAAATGTAAATGTATTTTATTGGGATTTTATGTGATAAACCAACACAAAGTGGGACATATTTGTGAAGTGGAAGGAAAATGATAAATGGTTTTCAAAATGTTTTACAAATAAATATCTTTACCCTCCTCAAGTGTGGATTCTTTCACCCTCTACTTTCCCAGGCCAGTGTTCAGCACTGTCACATTTTGAATGACAATTACTCAGGTATGCGGCGCTTTACCCAAATGACATTTTTTACATTTTTGAGAGCTTTCTTTTGGTGGTATATAATCACCACTTTTATTTTTTTCTTTTGCTATGAAAAAGAATAAATACCTATAATTCTGCAAAAACATGTTTTTCTGTTGGAAAACAGTACTGCTTGGGGAGAAGGATTGATCAGGATTTTTTTTGTGGGGGTTCTTCTACTATCCTGGCATTTCAGGGCCAACATTAGATGCTTATGCCAGACATCACCCACTTTTCTAACCACTTTTCTGACACTTTTTGTTTGCTTTTAAAAAAAAATATAATGTTTGGGGGTTCAAAGTAATTTTTCAAGTAGAGTCCGTAGAGAATAAAACGGTGGGTGTTGAAATGTTTTATGTCACACAGTATTTGCGAAGGGATTCTTCAAATGCAAATATTTAAAAAAAAATACACTTTTTAGAATTTTATTGCACAAAAACACACTCTATTGCCCAATTGTTTGATAAAATATAAAAGATGATTTTCCGCCGAGTAAATTGATACCAAACATGACATGCTGTAAAAATTGAGCATGCCCGTGCAACAGCGTCAAATTCCATAAATTTTTAATATCTACAGGTGACGCTTTAAAAGCCTTTACAGGACACCACTTTAGTTTTACACAGGAGTTCTAGTGCTAAAATTACTGCCCTCTGACGTTCATGGTGGTACATGCATGGTGCAATCTGTTTACATACCACCATGGGACTGCCGCTTGCGTCTGCCTTTGCGCACGGGGATGGAGGTGGGCATGAATTTTTTTTTTTTGTAACTATTTTGCTTTTTTTTTTCTTACACTGTACTTTTTTTTTACTTTTTTTTTTTTATCCACTGTAATGGCAATAGGCACTGACGGGTATTCTTTTCAGAGAAATCTGAGGTCTATTAGACGCTAGATCTCTCCTCTGCCCTTAAAGGTGTGATCAGATGCTTTCCCAATTTTAAAATGTTATTTATATCCGGCAACACAAAAATGATGAAATGCTTGTAGCTTCCAGTCTCCTAGACCATAGAGATGATTGGAGGCATTCCAGTCTACGATCAGCTCTATTGTCAGCCAGCAGAACTGCCGGCTACATTTTTGGGTTCCCTAGTGGAATGGGAGAGCCCAAGAAAACCTTGGAAGGCGGCAAGAGGGATGGGGGAGTCCCTTCCCGCTGCTTGTAAAAGCAATCCAGTGGCTAATTAGCAGCTAGGATTGTTTTTACATGAAAGCCGACCGCCAGCTGAGAAAAAAATTATACCAGAATGGTGCCTGTAGCTGAAAGCATCATCCCGGTATAACCATTCAAAGTCCTGCAAAGTATCAGTATGTTGGGCATATAGGTAACAGCAGAGAACATGGGCATATGATGAATCGGGTCTGTCGGCCAATATGACCGCAATTCATTCTTTTTTGTAATGCCCATGTTGAGAGTTAGGCCCAAAAACGTTTTAAATTTAGAAACTGTTAGGTTTCAATGGGAATTTGGGTTGCTCGGCAATGTATTGTTGTGCATATACATTACTTTGGCCCACAATCAATTGATATAAATCTTCAGTGAAAAAAAGCGGAGGGGCTATCTACTAACACTGCGTTTTTGGTGACATTATACAAAGGAGGCACTAGTATAGTTCTGTTCATGATGAATATATTGATCTGTACAAACACTATACTAGCAATGGTGGTGATCAGCGACCTATAGTGTGCAGGCAATCTAACGCTAGCTGACCCTGGCTGGGAGGGGTACTAACTGATCCTGATGCTATCTGATGTCGCTAGCGGCAGTAGTACAGTGATCAGTGAAAAATTCTATATACTGATACTGTACAAATGGCACTGGCTGGGTGACGGGGTGATCAAAGAGTTAAATGTGCTAATCTAACGTGTGTGTAAAACGTAGTGCTTTTACTCAGTGCCGTGTTTTGTTCTTCTCTCCCTGGATGGCAAGGGGGCGCACGCACACCCGAAAATAGAATGCGACATAAGATTATGTTGCTTTGCCTGCTCTAGGCATATTCTGAGCAGGAGGGTGGTAAGTAGTTAAAAAAAAAAAAAGTTTTTTTTTTTTTTTTTTTTTTTTTTTTTTTATTTTTTTTTTTATACTTTTATC